TATAAATTTTTTTACAAATCAGTCATTGAGAACCCTATGGAGCACAGTCCTAATCAGATATGGGGTCTCCTTGAGCTGGAGGTGAATGGTTTCTGTGGGGCAGTTTGATTGTGACTCCCTGGAGTATGCTCTTGTTTTGTTTGCCTTTTGTCTCATTCTTCTTACTTATTTTAATTAAAATTATCTTATTGTTTGTATGCGTCTTTGTAAGGATCTTTAAATCTTTTACGTATATATAAGGTAAGGGGGGAAAAATCAGTGTATACTAAACTAACCTGCCAGAGGTTGCCCAAATATGCTGTTGGCACCTTCAGTATGTCAAAAGATGCCCGGGACCCTTTTCACATCATTAGCCATCAAGTCATATTGTTAAAGGATAAATGAGTTCATATTCTTGATGTCCTTTGAGCTCCTGGAAGGAAGATGCTCTCTAATGCTTGATTTGTATTGTCTGGTAGGTTGATAGCAGGGACTGGGCCCTTAATGGGAACACCCTCTCCCTCGATGAAGAGACGGTCATTGATGTGCCTGAGCCCTACAACCTCGTATCCAAGTACTGTGCCTCCTTGGGACACAAGGCAAATCACTCCTTTACTCCAAACTGCATCTATGATATGTAAGTATGACACCAATACTGGGGTGGGTCTCTGGTTCAGGTTCCAGGGGGTCTGAAGACTCCAAGAAAAATCTCAAATGATTTGCCATCAAGTTGGAACCAACTTATAGCTGCCTTTTCAGGGGGTTTTCAGGGACTGTGAATCACATGGGAGGAGATTGCCTATCTTTCTTTTTAGAGCCACCTATGGCTCCTCCCAGCTAACTACAGCTGTGCCATCAGGGCTCCTTTGGATCTGAAGAGGGCATCTGAAAGGTATTTATTCCACCTCAGATAAGAATGGCCTTGAATTGAAGGTATCAATGGAGGCAGTTCCATTAAAATAACCAAGGGCATTGGTACCCAGAGGCCCTATGATGATGCCTTGAACCTGGGTATCTAAATCTGGCCTTGTCAAACTAAGAGATAGAAAAGCGTACAGGAGAGTTAAAATGTTGTGGAAATACTGTGCTTACAGGTTGCCATTTTGTTGCTGCTTTTCTTATCTTTCCATTTTCTCATTTGGAAAAAAAATGAGAGATGTTATTTAAAATAGTAATATACATAATAAACTTGCTGTGCCCAGTGGAGAAGATGAGGGAAACCTTTTATGTTATGAAAAACAGAAGAATAGAATTCTAAGCTTAGGACGTAGAAGTCTCAGTATAAAAGGAGACTTATAAAAATCAAATAAAAACCAAAACCAAGGCCATTGCCATCAAGTCAATTCAGACGCACAGTGACCCTACAGGACAGAGTAGAAGTGACCCTATGGGTTTCCAAGGCTGTTTCCAAGGCTGTGTCTCTCACAGAGCATCTGGTGGGTCTGAACCACCAACCTGTAGATTAGCAACTAATTACTGTGCCTTCGGTGCTCCTTATGAAATTGAACAGTCAGTCCCTAGTATTTAACAATAGAAGGAATGAGCTACTAGTGCATTTTAAAACGTAGAATAATTATTTTAAAAACTAGGTGAAAGAAACCAATGATAAAGAGCCATTTAGTGTATGATTTATGTGAAACATCCAGAATAGGCAAGAATATTAGTGGTTCCCAGATGCTCTGGGACTTGGAGAATGACAAGTGACTGCTAAGAGTAGGGATTTCTTTCATAGGTGATGAAAGTGTTCTAAAATTAGATAGTAGTATGGTTCATAACTCTGAATATACTAACATCCACTACTAACTCATGTACTTGCATTGATGGATTTAGTAATATGTCAATTATGTGTCAATAAAGCTGTTATTTTTAAAGTTAATTAATCTTACCAACCCTCAGGGTTTGACTCTCCACTTTCAGCTGCTCATTGAATCTCTGCTTGAACCATCAATGGAGAACTTAGGCATAAAGGCATTTAGCAGCCAAGCATGTTAACTCTTTGTACCACTTAGGGATTTCAGTTGGCAATTCCTGGTCACATTCTCATTTATAACAAGATGCACTATGTACAGTGTAACCATTAGCCTTCCCCCTCCAGACTACTCCCAACCAAAAAACCCCAGCAACAGTTATTGCCAACCTTTTGGAACAGATAGAATCACATTTTCATTCAAAATTACTGCCTCTCATTAGTATACTATCCTTCCCACCTCTGAATTATAATTGTGCTTTTATTTGTAGCAGTTATTTGTTCAACAGTTATTTCCTGAGGGCTGACCATGTTGCAGGCATTGTCCTAGATGTAGAAGTAGCCAAATTTAAATAAAAAAAACAAAACACACACCAGTAGATCTGAATATTCCAACATGATACTGATGCACGGCAGTAACTATCACCTGCCTGTTACCATTAGGGAGCTTGGTGGCACAGTCCATTCGGCATTACACTGCTAACCCAAACGTGGCACCTCTCTGGTGGTTCCAGTCTACCAGCAGCTCTGCAGGAGAGAGATGAGCAATCTCCTCCTGTGCAGTTTGCAGCCTTGGAAACCTGCTAGAGGACCAGTTATGAACTCGAGGGCAGTGAGTGAGAGAGTGATGCCCTACGTTGTGCTTTTTCTTCTCAGTTTCAGTTTTTCCAACAGCCTCTAAACTTCATGAGGGCAAGGACAGTGTCTCATTAATTATCATAGCACGGCAGGGTGGTTTCAGCACAGAGCCAGAGTCTGCTACTTGAAATTAGCTTTGGGCTGTGATGGTTGGAAAGTTCTTTCTACTAAGCCTTGAGAGATTTCCCCCATAATGGCCAAGCCTTGGCCCCAGTTATTCCTTTTCCTTTGTACTCTATGGGTCTGTCCTCCACGGAAGCCCTGAAAATGTTTTCATAGTGTCCGTAAGCTCCCTGAATGTTCTGTTCCCAAAGCCAAGCATGTCTGCTTTCTTTGACTATTCCTTCAGTGGTACAGATGGTGGGTTTTCTTTTGCCCCAGGAATGCCCTTTCTCCTGGGAGTCTCCACTGGAGGCCATCTTTCTACACAGGTACAACTTGGGTCCGCTCAGATTTAGAGCATAAGGAAGATCAGATCATGGGAATTTAATGTGCAGAATAACTACCAGAACTTGCAGATTCCTCAAGAATGACCCTTCTTACATCCCAAAGTTAGATTTAAAATTGTTCTGGCAGTGGCTTGCTCTTGTCAGTTAGTAACACACACTGGAGTTACAACTTCTGTTTTAAAGGGCACTTAGAAATGGGGGGGGGGAAGAAATGGCAAAGGACATGTGTCATGAGAAATGAAACCGACACTGTTATTAACTGCAAGGCTTTTGTCGCCAGTATGAATTAGGGCGCAGTAGAATGCCAGTCTGCACACAGCTTCACTGCCCTTCGAAGTCGTAATAACTGAGGATGGCAAATGCTGCTTGGACTACTCTTTTTAAAACAGATTTCTTCTGCGATGTCATTACAAGGATAAGATTTTTTTTTTACTCTCTCTCTCTCTCCTCACCAAATAAGGAGAGTGTACAGAAGGCCAGAGAAGATACTTTTTGTGCAAAATCAAGTCCCTCGTCTCAGTGGGTTTCTTTGGCCAGCCCAGTGGGAGCAAATTTTATCTACAGGGTAATGGAAGGACTATTTTAATAATGCTCTTGTTGTATCCTGTGGAGTTGGAACCAATCCATAGCTGGTTTTCAAAAGCAGTTAATTGCATGGAAGGAGACTGCACATCCTTCTCCCATGGAGATTCAAAGTGTGTGCTAGAGGGGTTGCAATGCAGCTTCTTGCCATTAGGCTATCAGTGTTCCCTATTATAATAATAACTAATGTAAAAGTCAGTTAACAACTCATAGTGACCCCAGAAACAACAACACAAAATGCTCCCCAATGCAGTGCCATCTCCACATCAGATGTAGCTCAAACTACTGTGATCCAGAGAGGTTTTAATGGCTGATTTTGGAAGTAGATCACTAAGTCTTTCTAATCTGTGTTGATGTGGAAGCTCCATGGAAACCTATTCAGCACCATAGCAGCACACAAGACTCTATTGGCAGATAGGTGCATTGGCTGAGAATCAAATCCTGTCTCCCGCACAGAAGGCAAGAATTCTGCCAGTGAATCACCACTGCTCCCACAAGCAAACAAATCTTGTGTAGTTTTGTTGTTAGTTCAATAGACAATGACTCATAGTGACCCTATGCACAATAGCTCTGAACCCTGCTCTATCCTGAGCCAGTCTCATTGTGCTCTTGTCAGTTAGTAACACACACTGGAGTTACAACTGAACCCTCCTCTATCCTGAGCCAGTCTCATTGTCTCTGACACAGCTACCCTCATTACCCCAGTTACTGTGTCACTCCATCCCATCCAGGGTCTTTCTCTCCTTTGCTGTTCCTTGGCCCTTCCAAGCATAATATCCTTCTCCAAAGACTAGTCTTTTCTGGCAATATGCCCACAGTATGTGAGATGAAGTCTCAAAATCCTTGCCTCCAAGGATTAGCTTGGTTTCACCCCTTCCAGGACAGACCTGTTAGTTCTCTTAGCAGTCCATGGTATGTTCAATACGCTTCTCCAGCACCAGAATTCACAGGCATCAATTTTTCTTCTATCATTCTTCGTCACTGTCCAGATCTCTGATCCATAGCAAGTAATTGCAAAGACCATGGCCTGGCTCGGGTGCACCTTAGTCTCTAGACTGACATCATTGCTCTTCAGCACTCTGGAAGGGTCCCTGACAGTCAATTTTCTTAATTCAGTTCATCTTTTGGTTCCTTGACTGTTTGTACCAAGAGTGTTGATTGTGGAACCAGGCAAGCTGAAATTATTAACAATCTCAATCTCTTCTTCATCTATCATGATGCTGTCAATTGGCCCAGTGGTGAAAATCTTCCTTTTTTTGATGTTGAGCTTCAATCCATATTGCAATCTACAGTCCTTGGCCGTCTGCAGCCCAGTTTCAGCAAGTAAGGTTGTGTTATCTGCATAATGCAGGTTGTTGGGGCATCTTCCTCCAATTCTGATGCCACATTCCTACTCATAAAGTCCAATCTCTGGAGTAATTTATGCAGCATACAGACTGAAATTTATGGAGATGGAACACATCTCTGACAAAGTCTTTTTCTGATTTTGAACCATGCAATATTTCCTTGCCCATTCTGATGACTGCCTCCTGGTTCGAGTATAGGTTTCCCCTGAGCACAATCAAGTGTTCTTGGATTCCCATTCTTCTCAAGGTTAGCCACAATATGTTGTGATCTACGGAGAATAATGCCTTTATATCGTTTTGGTGACAGAAACATGGGTTTGGTGACAGAAATACGGCTGGAGATAAAATAACAGAATTTTGTACCGTCAATTATTTATTCACTGCAAATACCTTTTATAAGAAACACAGAGACTGTCTACATGGACTTCACCTGATGATCTGCATAGGAATCAAATTAACTACATTTGTGGAAAGAATCATTGGAGCTTATGAAAACTTGGCCAGGTGCTGATTGTGGAACAGACCATCAACTACCCATTTGTCAGTTCAAACTGAAGCTAAAGAAAATGAAATGAAATCCACAAGAACCAAAATTTGGGATAAGTCTATTCCACCTTAATCCAAAAACCAACTCAGGAATAGATTTGAGGCCTTG